GCATAATAGGCCACACCCAATAGCAGAAACTCATTAGCATATTGGGCCACATCCCTGACAGCACCATTCATTAGCATATTAGGCCGCACCCACATGTTACCAGAAGTGTGCATCCAGCCACACCAATCTTTTGCTTCTTATTCTGTTTACCTTGTTTGTTGTCAAAACCCAGGGCCTTTTTTTGTAGCAGGAACTCCTTTGCATGTTAGGCCACACACCCCTAATGTAGCCAATCCTAATGAGTTTCTGCTTTTGGGTGTGGCCTATTATGCTAATGAGTTCCTGCTGCGCGTGGCCAACTCAGGAGCCAGCCAGAACTCCGTTCCTGTGCGTTCCTGCCCAAAAATAGCCCTGGGCACGAATGTTGGGCGGAGTATACGGGCACGATCAGAAGACACATCTGGCAAGCGTAGCACACCCATCGCCGACCCGTAGCATCCGCCTGAAGATCCGGAGTTAAAAAATACCCGGGAAAGCCTACGAGCAAACGGTTTGCTACGGGCTGTCGATGGAATACCTACGTATGATCGCTCAAGCATGCTCTTGACGCATGCCAAAAACACGCGCCGACAAACAAAACCCCACTTTGTTGCCACGACGCCTGATCGCCTTCTGGCGTGTTAAATGGCGCCGGCGCGAAAAGCCACGCCTCCCTTCCACGTTCTCTGGCCCTAATCTTGAAACTATGTATGGCCTCAGTTGCCGTACAGCCGACTGAGGCCTCTGTCATATTAAAGTGGGAGTTATCTGCAGCATATAACAGCGTGCTGGAGAGTGGGGAGGAGGTAAAATACAAGGGTCATAAAGCTGCTGCGTTTAAACGGTTCCACGTGGGACCCCATTATTCCTGCAGTCAATTCAGAGTGCTAGCCCTGCAGCATGGACAAACCTGTGATGATCAAGCAGCTAAAACGATGGAAATTGGTGGAAAATAGGCAAAGAAAGCAGATGCTGTGGAGCACGAGCTACTCTTTCAGCCGCTTGTGCTGGATCCATTGTACTTCTGTCTACCCAAAGAGTTAAAGCCTCTGGAAAAAGACAAAAGACCAAAAAGATGCTGTGGGAAGTAGCTGAGATCACTGATCAGCTGATGCTGAATCGGAGGGTTTTGAATGGAGGACTTTCAGGAGAGAAGGGAAGGGGGGAATTTCATTACAGAAGGGAGGGAGCTTCTTTACCACTGGAGAACTGAAAAGCCCCAGGGCCTCCTTCTGGCTCATGTGGGGAGAGACAGTCTGTGAGATATTTAAGGCCCAGTACAGAGCTTGAAATGGCATCTCGAAGCAACTGGTGCCATTGTCTTAACACAGGGTCTTTGGTACCCCTGCCAGCCTACCACTGACAGTAGACGATGGCTGCCCTCTGTGCTGATTGGCACTTACCAACAGGTTTCGAGACTGATCCAGGCAGAACATGTCATAGCGATCAGTTCTTGATGGAGCCTATGTGGCATGGTGGTGTGCTGCACTTTCCTGTGTGGGAGGCGAGCTCAGGAAAGCCTGATGAACAAAAACAGGGCCATCATCTTGGGGGGAGGGGTCAATGTTCTTTCTCAGAAGGACCTCTAGATCATTCTGTCACTGTGTCATGTTCAGGCATGGGAGAATACAAAGAGAAACAATTTTGTTGTCTGCCATTTGACAACAGTCCTCTGATCCCTTGGAAACTCACCAAAGCCCGTGCCTCTTTCATAGATTGGCTTGGTTCATGCACACATAAGAACATAACAACATAAGAACACAATGTTGGATCAGGCCAAAGGCCCATGCAGTCGAACACTCTGTGTCACACAGTGGCCAGAAATACCAGTGCCATCAGGAGGTCCCCCAGTGGGGCCAGGACATTAGAAGCCCTCCCACTGTTGACCCCCCCCCCCAAGCACCAAGAAGACAGAGCATCACTTGCCCCAGAGCCCCTATCTATACCTTGTGGCTAATGGCCACTGATGGACCTCTGCTCCATATACTTATCTAATTCCCTTTTGAAGCCGTCCATGCTTGTAGCTGCCACCACTTCCTGTGGCAGTGAATTCCACACGTGGGAATTGCTTGATTTCTGCTTCCTCAGTTTTTCAGTGGGCTACCGTTTGCGCTGGACCGATGGGTTGGATCCAAACCCTATCCTACGCACGTACTAAGCCACGTTTGAAGCCTTCCTCTGGCCACTTAAGTTGGAGGAGGTTCTTTGGAGAAAGGTTGGATCCACACCAATATGGAAATGATACCTGTGTCATTTGATTTGTGATGGTCCGTCCATACCTGCAATTCACTCTGGGCATCTAAGGATGAACATAAATGTGTGAACTGACCTTTTGCCGGGCAAGATTTTGGCAGACAGCTAAGTTTCTGACAGGTGCGAGATTTCAGTTTATGTTTTATTCAGGGTTGTTTAATTGGCTTTTTAACAATGCTATTAAACTATAACCTACCCTGCATGCTAGGGTTGGGATGACCTAGGAAACCTAATATACGTAATGTATTGTCAGCAATTAAGCTGTTTTCTTCAGCTATTTATGTTTTTAAGAACACATAATTTCTCTCGCTGAATTCTTCCTACATCTCAAAAGCAAAAATAAAAAAAAACAGTGCTCCCTTTTAGAGGGAAGATAAAAACTGATACAGAATTAAACTGCTTTTGTCAGGAGTATGATTAATAGTTCAGAAACTGTTGCAAGACCTAATCTTGAAACTATGTATGGCCTCAGTTGCCGTACAGCCGTGCAATCCTAAGCATGTATACCGTACTCAAGTAAATTCCATTGAGGTCAATGAAAATTATTCCCTAGGATTTGTATTTAGGATTGTATTCTAAAGTATCACAATCTTTCCTTGGGGAACCTTTCCACTCTGGTTTCTTTTAGTGGTTTGGATAAAGGGCACGAGAACCCTGTCTTGAGATAGGAATTCTCTGACATGTAATGCTCATATAGATTTTTTGTTCAGTCGCACAGTCGAGTCACAATACAAGTCGCACAGTCACAATACAAGAACCCGTGGGCACTCCATGAAATTGCTGAGCGGTCGGGTTAGAACGGATAAAAGGAAGTACTTCTTCACCCAAAGAGTGATTAACACTTGGAATTCACTGCCACAGGAAGTGGTGGCAGCTACAAGCATGGACGGCTTCAAAAGGGAATTAGATAAGCATATGGAGCAGAGGTCCATCAGTGGCTATTAGCCACAAGGTATAGATAGGGACTCTGGGGCAAGTGATGCTCTGTCATCTTGGTGCTTGGGGGGGGTCAACAGTGGGAGGGCTTCTAATGTCCTGGCCCCACTGGTGGACCTCCTGATGGCACTGGTATTTCTGGCCACTGTGGGATACAGAGTGTTGGACTGGATGGGCCTTTGGCCTGATCCAACATTGGCATCTCTTATGTTCTTATGTTCTTATGAGTCTGACTCTTCGCGACCCCATGGACCAGATCATGCCAGGCCCTGCTGTCTTCTGTTGTACTCCAGAGTTTGCTCAATTTCATGTTCGTTGCATCTATGACACTGTCTAACCATCTCATCCTTTGCCGTCCCCGTCTTCTTTGACCTTCAATCTTTCCCAGCATCAGGGTCTTCTCCAGGGAGTGCTCCCTTCTCATTTGGTGGCCAAAGTATTTGAGCTTCAGTTTCATTATCTGGCCTTCCAGGGATCAGTCAGGGTTGATTTCTTTTAGGATTGACTGATTTGGTCTCCTTGCAGTCCAAGGGACTCTCAAGAGTCTTCTCCAGCACCATAGTTCAAAAGAATCTATTCATATAGATTACAAGACAGATATTTCCCTTAGAAGTTCTACATTCGCTTATATATGAATTTAGGATGCTACCTTATATGGAGTCAGTCCATCTAACTCAGTGTCTATCTGCTGTGACTGCTCATAGCATTCGCAGCAGAGAAAGGTCTTTACAAATATGTGCATCTGAAGTTCCTTGAATCTGGGACCTTCTGCATGCAAAGCAAGTGCTCTCCCACCTTTTCCCTTGCCCTCTCCTCCCTTTTCTCATCTTGCTTGTAGTATATTTTAGATTGTAAGCTCCTTGGGGCAGGGACCCCTCTTTTCATGTTCAGTAAAGCACCACACACACACTGATGATGGTGGTGGCAATCATTTTCCATGATAATGTTCTTTCAGAATGGCCTTTCCTCCTCTGGGTTAAGCAAGTCTGGTGCTGTCTAGAAGTTGCTTTTGGTTTAGAGTACGTTTCTGGTACTGACCACTCTGGAAGTCCTGTATGCTTCCATGGATTGTGAGGTTAGGCAAAGTGGATCTTCTTTAACACAACTGCTACTGCCTTTATTTCCTGAATTTCCCCCTGTAAATTAAGTGAATGGATGTGGCACAAAGGGCTCTGCTCTCATGCATTTCAATGAGGCTTGGACAGGAAAAATTTTCGGTGGGTCATTTCCAGTTTCTTTGCATCCCTGTATTTGATGTCTCATATCAGACATTGCTAGCTAATACCAGCAAGGGTGAATACTGTTTTCAAGAAGAAATGTGCCTTGGAGCTTCTACGTTTTACTGTCCTGTGCTCCCCTCCCCACTCAATTCAAGTTTTGAACACAGCCCACTGGAAAGTCTTCCTGTACGGGCCCCATTGAAATGAATGGGAGGGAGCTAGGGTTGCCAAGTCTCACGTGCGTGCGCCGCATCCACGTCACCAGGAAGTGACGTGACGACGCTGGGGGAGGAGCCCCGACCATCTGAGGGAAAACCATAGAGTTTTCCCTCGGATGACTGTGGCCCCGCCCCCGGCGTGGTCGCGTCACTGCTCTTGAACAGGCACCCATTTATTTAATTCATGGGGAGAACTTTGGGGGGAAAGACCATGCTCTTTTTTGGGGGGTTGGCTCAGAAAACGCCTGTCTTGCACGTTTTTTAATCTTTCCCCACCAATTCTGCCTTGAAAGCGCCCACTGTATAGTAAAACTGATAAATTTCATTAATTGGGGCATATGTGTTGCCCTTGATACGATGTCTGTTGTAACTTTCTTTGCTGATGTGTATTCAGGGTGATCAGGGAGTGCCTGGTGTTCCAGGAGACGTCGGATTCCAAGGTGATAAGGTAACTGGATCCTGATTTTCTGTCCGCTTTATGTTTCCATAAATGTTGATACATAGCCACTGCCGTACTTTCTGGGCAAAGATGCTAGCACTCCAACCCCGCTTTCTTATGTTTAATTCTTTTTGATTATGTCTTTCTTACATTACAAAACAACAACAACAACAACAACCCACACCTTCGTGATGGCAAATATGTTCCTGAAAATGTTTACCACTTGAGAGCACAGCCCAAGAGGTATGCCGCTTAAAGTGGGCACAGAAATACAAGCCGCAAGGGTAGACTATCAAAAAAATTCACAAATTGCACAAGTTACCAGTAGACATCAGTCTATTGCAACATAATTACACTCAATCAATAAATAAAGTAGAATTGGTGGTCACAGATTCTCCACAGATTCCACTTGAGACATGAGCTGTGCCTAGTTTATTATGGAAATCAGGTTCCATTTTTCAGCCGTATAACTGAGGAAGAATGCTTTGAAACATCTGACATACCTAGGAAGGACGTTTTCGGCTGCAGAAGTTTCTTTGTGTTATGGGACATACTCTGCCTTGTTTGTGGACTTTGAGGTCTTTTAGACACTAGTATACTGAAAAGGTTTAGAGGAGTCTCTTGTTGGATTTTTCTGTTTGAATGGTTATACCTTCTCTTTTTAAATGCTTTGAATAATAATAATAATAATGATGATGATGATGATGATGATGATGATGATGATGATGATGATGATAATGATGATGATAATAATAATAATCATAGGGGTAAGGGAGGACAACATATAATTCTTTAAATCGCACACATTTTTTTGCATCCGACGGGGATTTTTGTTCAGCTGTAGGCTTCAGACGTGTTCCGGAGGCATTCACTTTTCAGCTTGGCTTGATGACGCTGGTTCTTCCTGGGCTGCTTTGAATCGTAGCGCCGCATTGCCACCGCCTGGCCAGATTGGCCCATCACAGGCTTCTTAATGCCGAAGAGGTCTTTTTATCAGGCTGCCGAGCTTCCGAGCTGGACATTCCATTCGCTGGCTAACACCCCCCTACGGGGGTTTAGTGTGCCCACCCTTTCTAAGGAGTGGTACCCATTTTATCTACTCGCCTAAGCTTTCAAACCACTGGGTGGACGGCAAGCTGGGGACAAGGCTGGTAGCTCACACCAGCGCGGGCTAGAACTGACAGCAACTCTGTTCAGTTCAGATGTTAACCAGAGGATAAATCCTCTGTGCCACCGCTCCCCTACTTATTGCAACTTGTTTTTGAATTGTGACCACCAATTCTACTTTATTTATTGATTGACTGTAATTATGTTGCAATACACTGATGTCTACTGGTAACTTGTACAATTTGTGATTTTTTTTTTATGGTCTACTGTTGCGGTTTGTATTTCTGTGTATCACATACGCTTGGGGTCCCTATTGCTTGACTTAAAGTGGGCAAGCAAAAGACTCCAGGGTTCAGGAGTTAATTCTTCCACCTTTGATCCTACTCATTCATCCTCTCCTGCAGCCAGCATTGCCAACTTGAACATCCCGCTTTCTGGCTGCAACACTGCTCTAACTCTAGTTGAAATTCTCATTCTCTGTTTGTTTTCCCCTCAGGGTAGTCAAGGTTTGCCCGGGATGCCAGGTGCCCGAGGAAAGCCAGGCCCTCTTGTAAGTAACTGCTTCTTTTTTCTGATCCTGCTGCAAAAGGTGGCCTGGGGTGGCCTGCTGGCCAACACCTGTCTTTAGGGCCTAATTGAGGTTGTCATCCTATATCACGGCTGTACTCTTCCAAATTCAGCAAGGAGATGCTGCTCCGTACCCAAAATAAAATTCTCTCTGTATAGATAAGCAGTGTATTCAGGATGAAGGCTAAGTTTAGATCCTGTCTCCCTGACATGATGGTGTTCTGTGTACTGATTTGCGTGTGTGTCTTAGGAGCACTGAGTTCTGTGTACCACCACCTACAGGTTGAAAAGGTACAGACCAGACAGAGGATGACAACTTCACTAAGAGGGAGACCTTCGATGGCATGCTCATGTTTCCTTTTTGATTTGTTTGGTTCTCTGCAGGGGAAGGTTGGTGACAAAGGTCCGGTTGGAATTCCAGGACCACCTGGGCCTGAGGTATATTTTGGCTTCATCACTCTTTCTTTCCTTGTAGCTTTATCTTTCCTTTCAAAATCCACCCTTTCTTTTCAAAAAACTCTTCTACCCACCATGACCTGGATAGCCTAGGCAAGCCTGATCTTGTCAGATCTCGGAAGCTAAGCAGGTCTGACTGTGGCAAGTGTTTGGATTGGAGACCTCCAAGGAATACCAGGGCCGGGTGGCAGAGGCAGGCTATCAAGCCACTTCTCTAAACATCCTCCATGTCCCAGTAGGAGTTGCCAGAAGTTGCCATGACTTCTAGGCATGGGCACATATGTGCACACACACGCGCGCACGCACACACAAAATGTAACCCCCCCTTATACCCTACGCTAAATGTCAGGAAGCAAAGAGTAAGAATCCTATATATATAATTCCCTTATGTATTGGCCATTTCCAGCTCTCCCAATGGCTGTGTTGTATGCTCCATCAGCCATTGGCCCGTCAACCGTCACTCAAGAGTACTTGTGTACCATAGGCTGTGTGCTGGGTCTGCTCCTCCCCTGCCCACTGCCAGCCTGGACACTCTTATCTCACAGAATTAACTATCAAAATGGTTGTCTCGCCTGACAAAGACACTTCTACTTCTTGGTTCCTGTGGCTGTTGCTAGTCAACCAAGCTTGGTTCTGTCACTAAAAAGACAAAGGAAGGAAGCCCTTTCCAGGCCTTTGTGAGGAACTCATTGGGGCCAGTCCTGACTAGGGTTGCCAGCTCCAGGTTGGAAAATTCCTGGCTATTCTATGGTGGAGTCTAAGGAAGCCAGAATTTGGGGAGGGGAGAGGCCTCAGCTGAATAAAATGCCATAGAGCCCACCCTCCAAAGCAGTTATTTTCTCTGGGGGAGAGCTGTTGTCTGGAGTTCAGTTGTGATACCCGGCGATCTTCAGGCTCCACCTGGAGGTTGGCCACCCTAGGTATAGCAGTTAGTGCTACAGAGCAGAGTCTGCTAGACCCAGGTTCTTGCTGTGGAAGTTGAATGGGTGATTTCGGACCAGTCACAGACTTTCAGCCTAACCTATCTCACAGGGTTGTTGTGCAGATCAGAAGGAGGAGAGGAGAATGATGTAAGCTGCTTTGGTCTCCACTGTGGAGAAAGACTGTACTTTTCCTCGTGGGGAATCATTCCTGCCAATCTCCAGGTGAGGGTTGGAGATCACTCAGAATTACAACTGCTCTTTAGATGGCAGAGATCAGTTCCCCTGGAGAACACAGTAAGCTCTGTGTCATTATACTCTGCTGAGATCGCCACAGCAAATTGACGCTGAGTGCCCAAGGCCATGGCACCCACCCAGAGCCTCTTTCTAGAGCTCGTTGTATTTATTTCCTCAACTAGCCTTATTCTTAGTATACATAGATAATGAAGGAAGTGGGGTCTTATGAGGACTGGTGTTGAGACCTGTGCTGTTTAATTTGTTCATAAAAGATCTGGAACTGGGGGTGAGCTTTGTAGTGGCCATGTTTGCAAGATACAGAATTATTCAGAATGGTGTGGGGGGGAAGCAGGTTGTGAAGAGTTTCAGGAGGATTACTCTGAATTGGATGAGCGGGCAACGGTGTTGAAAATGAAATTCATTGGAGGTAAGTATAAGGAGGTGCACACTGGAGGAAAAAAAAATCCACATTTTAGTGTATGATAATGAGATCTGAACTGGCAGAGCTTCGGGTTGGGGAATTGATCCTGGGGCTGTAGTAGGAAGACTGATGTAAATATCAACTCAGTATGTGGCAGCAGTGAAAGAGGCAAACTCCATGCTGGAGATTATTAGAAAAAGAATTGAAAATAAAATAGCCAGTATCATAATGCCCTTGGTGCAAATTCATTTAGAAGATGGTGCACAGTTCTGGGTACTGTATCTCAAAAAGGATATTGCAGAGCTGGGAAAACTATTGAAGAGGTAGCTGATTGAAGTACAGAAGACAGTAACCAAGGTGATTAAGGGGATGGAGCATCTTTCCTATGAGGAAAGGCTAACAAGTCTGGGACTTCACTGTTAAGGGGGAAAGATGAGCGATGGGGGACATGATAGAGATTTATAAAATTTACTGTTAAGGGGGGACATGATAGAGATTTATAAAATTATGCATGGAGCAGAGAGATAGGTTTCTCAACAGTGCCTTGAAAAATGTCAGGCGATTTGGGGAAAGGTATCTGGGCAGGGAGGAGTTTGGGAAGGTTGTGATGGTTTCTACCATAGAGACTAGGGGAAATTTCTAGAGAGTCACTATGCAGAGGCCATTTTTTCTCCCACTCCTTAATTTCTTGGTGGTGGGAAATGGGGGCTGGTGGCTGGTAATTTCCTGTCCCAGATGAGTAAATGGGCCTTGGAGACCTGCTGCTGGTCAGAGTACTGAAGATAGTGGATAGAGAGAACTTCTCCCTTCCCCCAAATATGAGACCTTGGGTGCACCCAGTGAAACTGATAGGCAATTGAGTAAGGACAGACCAAAGTAAATACTACTTTATTTGTTGAGTGATTAAATTTTGGAATTCACTGCCAGGGAGCATAGAGATGGCCACTAACACAGATGGCTTTAAAAGAGGATTAGACAGATTCATGATGGAGAGGTCTATCAATGGCTAGTAACCATGGTTTCTAAAGGGAACCTCCACATTCGGTGACAATAAAACTGAATACCAGTGCCAGGAGGCAACAGCAAAGGAAGATTGGCCTCTTTGTCCTGTTGTTGGTCCTTCAGGGTAACCAGCTGGCCATTGTGTAGAACAGGATCTTGGATTTTGGTGGACCACTGGTCTGATCCAGCAGGGCTCTTATGTTCTTAAGCAAACCCTTCTGCTTTACCTGTGGAGTTCCAGTTAGTTTGCACAATGCTTCATTGTGTGGGTGTAGCATTTCAGTTGATCCTATGTATGCACTGTACAATGTATGCGGGAGTCACAGGTCAGTGGCTGAGCCGGTGCAGTACATTCAGAAGGTCCCAGGTTCGATGCCTGGCATCTCCCGTTAAGGATCTCAGGAAGGTGGTGTTGGTACAATGACCTGCCTCTACTTCAGACCTTGAAGACCTGCTGCTGGTCAGAGCAGACAACAGTGAACTGGATCGGTCAATGGTTTGATTCAGTAGATGGTGTCTTCATATCAGAACTTTTAAAAAGGAGTTTTGACCAGTAGGGCGGCAAAGTGCTATGGAACTCATGCATCACAGACTGTAGGTGCTCCAAGCATAGATCTAAAAATAAACTATTATATGTTACTAAATATGTTTCAGTTTATGTATGTCGTTTGGAGGCCCGAAAGCCCTCACTGGAGGAGCTAGAGGGTGGGATGGGGCTTATGGTTTGCTTTTTGGTATGTTGAAAAGGCTCTGCTTCATATAATCCTTACTTCTAAGTAGTCTGTAGAGGTCTGTTACTTTCTGTGGAAATGCTCTGAAACAACTCAGGTGATTAACATGCAGAATTCACTGCCACAGGATACAATCATGGCCACCAGTGTTAGCAGCTTTAAAAAATGATCTTAGTTAAATTAATGGCGGATATGTCCAGCAGTGCTGTTAGTCATGATTTCTACATGGAGCTTTTGTGCTTGGAAGTAGTATACCTCTGAATGCCAGTTGCTGGGGAGGCGGATTCAGGAGTCTTTGGCCTCTTTACCCAGCACTTGCAGACTTCCCAGAGACGCTGTGGAAAACAGGATGCTAGTCTAGATGGACTATTTAGAGGATCCAGCAAAGCTCTTCTTGACTCAGCTCAGTTTGCACCAACCTGGTGTTCTTCACAAATATACTTTGGCGAGCCGTAGCCTAATATTGTGTATAGACATCCGAATGTAGAGTTAAACTTTCCCCCTTCGTCCAAGAACAGCTAGCTAGCTGGCTTGACACACAAGCCCTGGCCAGAATTTGCTGGCACTGTGGATTGCCTAGATGGTTGGCCCAGTGATTTCTGCGACACTGCAGTCTGTGACATCAGAGCAACTAAGCCAGTGACAGCAAGATCAAATGAAAGGCCAGGCACCAGCTGAACGGAAATAGCTGATTAAGTTGCATTGTCTACAGGGACTTGCTTGGCCATAGTAAGAGAGTAACAAGCTGATGGGAGAAGGGCGGTGGTTATTGTTGGAAAACTGAGACAGCGTTATGGCTGGTTGCATGGGTCGGTCCTCAACAAGCTCTTAATATGGTAGTGTCAAGGGCAGCGTTTGGCAGATGCTAGAAATCTGTTAGAAGATCAACCCCCGCAAAATCGCTGCATAACTAAATTACAGGACTTAGCCATTGGGCTAAATAAACATCCTATAAACATGTCAGAGAAAGGAGGCAGCAAATGGATATCTTTAAAAGAAAAATTGTTTACCTTATGAATTATATGCTGAGAAACGGTTGATGCTCGAGTCAAAACAAGAACTTAAAAAAACTTAGTGTGAGGATCTGGGATGAGTTTCAATTAACTGTCATCTCCTCTAACCACTGTCAGATAGAATGTGTTGGTTTCCCTTTCTTTTTGTAATCTAGAGACGTATACAATAGTTGTGCATGGTCTGATATTCCTTTATTTAACAGTCAGAATAAAACCTTACTGAAATAATTACTGTATCTGTTGGGAGAGAGGTAGAGTGTTGGATTAGGATCTGGGAGACCCTCTACCATGGAAGCTTGCCAGGTGACTTTGGGCCAGTCACCAACTCTCAGTCTAACCTACCTCATAGGGTTCTTGTGAGAATAAACTGGAGGAGAGGAGAGTGATGTAAATAAATAAATAAGAGCACTGTCTCTGTTCCAGATTATTCACCCCAATTGGATGGTAACTTTTAGGGTTGTCAGGTCCTTTAGTTGCTCTGCCCGGGGGGATTTGGGGGGAGGACTCCGGGGGTGGCCCGCGGCCGCCCCTGCCCCTCTCCCTCCCTCTAGCTGATCAGCAGGCCACGTGGTTCCCGCCGATCAGCTGAAGCTCTTTAAATCGGGCAGTGGGGGAGGGAGAGAGGTGGCCGGGTGGGTGGTCACTCTTGGGGGCGGGGCTTGGAGGTGGGGCTTCCCCTGCCAGCCAGCTGGCTTGGGGCGGATTAGAGCCCCCAAAAGTGGGGTCTGGCAACCCTGGTGACCTTTGTCATGCCTCAGAGGTGGGTACTCAGCTGGGTTTCCATGCTGTACCAGTAATATATAGCTGTTAGGTTTATGTCGGTAGCCTGTATCACTTGGGTACCTCCCCTGGCAATGGCAGTGGTCCCAAAGGCGGTGGAGGGACTCTGGGTTGAGAAGAAGCCATTTGACTTGGGCTACCTCCATGATCATGGTGAACATCTGTTCTGCCAAGGAGTTCCCCATGAAAAGGTTCAGTCTCGTGTCCTCAGGACATGTGGAAACCTTATGGATATCTGAAACAGCCTTCTGCCAAGTCAGACCATTGGCCTGTCTAGCCCAGTGTTGTCCAAGTGGCAGCGACACTCCAGGGCCTCCCCAGCACCTCTATGAGAGAACTGGTAGCTGGACACGGCAGGGATTTTTGGTATACCAAACCCCATGTAGACTACTCCTGAGTTGTGGGCTTTTCCAGGTTCAAAGGCACCTTTGGCCATTAGGGTTAGCAGCCATTGGTAGAACTATCTACCCTCCTGCTGACCCTATTGACGGTCTGAGCTTCTTGTGGTATAAATTCCACAAGGAAATCAGGTGTTGTTTTGAGAAGAGCTTTGTTTTATTTAAGGGACCCATTCTGCCCCAACTTGACACAGGGTGGCTTTTCTGTGGTTCTAAACTGGTCTTTCTCTTGCATGCTCCGGTGTGTGGGATGAAAAAAGATGCATGTATAGTCGGAAAATGGCTTTCAGTACTTGTCTGGCATGGTCTTTCCCCCTCATCAGAGTTCTGGTATTTTGCTGGGTTTGGAACAGTTCTCTTTTGAGTTGAATCGCTTCATAATCTTCCCTTCTTTGTTAACATTGGACTGGACTGTGGATTTCTTTGTTTTTTTAGTTGAATGGATTTGCAGGAGGAAAAGGGGGTTAGCGTTTAAAACGTCAGAGGCTCTGGCTAATGAGCATGTCGTCACCTTTCCTTTCTCCACGCCAAGCCCACTTCCCTTTTGTCACTTTTGCAGCCGTCTTGATTTGTTACTCCGCGCAAGAGAGATTAGGTGCTGATTCCAAATTTGTGAAAGGCTGAATGGGCTGCCTCAGCTGATAGCAACAAGGAAATATTCTCTGACACGAGCACAAAAGAAAAATGAGGGCTGGTGACCAAGAGGATGGCAAAGGGCCATTGGCTCAGTGGTAGAGCACGTGGTTTGGCAGACGAAAGGTCCCAGGTTCTTGGCATCTCGCAACGAAAGTGAACACAGCTAGCAGTTTGAACCTCTTGGAAGAGCCGCATGAACACAAGAAGAGTTCTGCTGTATTAGACCAGTGGTCCATCTAGTCCAGCATGCTTTTTCAGGATCCATTTTCAGTTCCCCTAGGACAGTGGTGGCGAACCTATGGCACGGGTGCCAGAGGTGGCACTCAGAGCCCTCTCTGCGGGCACGCGTGCCATCACCCCAGCCAGGCCCAGACCGTCATTAAAGTGTGGAATTCTCTGTCAAATAATTTTAAGTAAATGAAAGCATTTGGGATTGCTTTCCTTACTTTGTTTGGATCATCTTAAGTTAACGTATGAGTTGTTTTTTCTAAACGAAAACCTCAGTATTCAGGTTAAATTGCCGTGTTGGCACTGTGCGATAAATAAGTGGGTTTGGGGTCGCAGTTTGGGCACTCGATCTCTAAAAGGTTCACCATCACTGCCCTAGGAGGACACGGAGGCCAAAGCTTTCCCCTGATGTCGTTTCACCCAATCTAAAGAGACCCTTCCAGAGCTCTTCCTAATCTGCCGTGGGTTTCCATTATTGTACATGATTTGGTATCATTTGCAGACTTGACCATTACACCATTCACCTGCTAAATACATAATAATACATCATATAAAATCAATTAATTATCATTGCTGTAGATTTTCTGGGTTGTGTGGCCATGGTCTTGGCATTGTAGGATCTGACGTTTCGCCAGTAGCTGTGACTGGCATCCTCAGAGGTATAACACAGAAAGATGGAGTACTCTCTGTGTCTTGACAGCACAGCTAAAGGCGAAACGTAGGGTTGCCAACCCCCAGGTGGGGCCTGGGGATCTCCCGCTTTTACAACTGAGCCCCAGCCGCAAGAGATCAGCTCCCCTGGAGAAAATGGCTGCTATGAAGGGTGGACTCTATGGCATTGTACTATGCTGAGGCCCCTCCCCTCCCCAAACCACGCCCTCTCCTGGCTCCACCCCCAAAGTCTCCAGGTATTTTCCAACCCAGACTTGGCAACCCTAGCGAAACGTCAGGTTCTACAATGCCAAGACCACGGCCACACAACCCAGAAAATCTACAGCAACTAATGAACTCCGGCCATGAAAGCCTTCAACAACATATTGAATTAATTATCGTCATGGCATTGTGAGTAGACTAGCCAGGAGATCCTAAGATCGTCTGGCAGACAGAATTTCTAGCTCCTTAGCGTCATGCACCACTAGGTGGCGAGCTAGACTTGTTTTTGAGGCAAGAGACGTTTCAGAGGTGGCTTGCCATTGAGCCTCTGTGTCATGACCTTGGTGTTCCTTGGAGGCCGCCCTTCCAAATACTAGCCAAGGCCAGCCCTGCTTAGCTTCTGAGATCTGACGGGATCGGGCTAGCCTCAGCGATCCAGGATAGGGCAGAACAAAATAAATAGCACGGATTAGCACAATTAGATAAGGTGCTATGCAATAGTGAAGTTTAAAAGACCACCACCACCCCTCCCGGGCAGCTTTACATCTCTCTCATTAGGATTTTGGGAGTGTGCAGAGCAACTCGTTGCCCTTGCTGTGTAGCTAAGGATCTTCTTGAAAGTCAAAATGTAGCTCACCAGGGTAAAAGATCTGAGTGGGTCCCTCCCTCTTTTCTACATCCTGGAACATTAATACACGTGACCTCCAGCATGGTGTTGTGGTTAAGAGTGGTGGACTCTAATCTGGAAACCTGGGCTTGATCCCCCACTCCTCCATGTGAAGCCTGCTGGGTGACCTTGGGCCAGTCCCAGTTCTCTCTCGGAGCTCTCTCAGCCCCACCTACCTCACAAGGTGTCTGTTGTGTGGAGAGGATAGGAAGGCGATTGTAAGCCGCTCTGAGACTCCTTAGGACAGAGAAGAGCAGGGTAGAAGAACCAACTCTGCTGCTGTCTGCTGTCTGAAGTGCTCTAGTCTACTCTGTTTTGTGTGAAGCCAAGCTTGGAAGAGGAATGAGATTCTGGGCTAAACCCTGGCATGCAGTGCCCTGGCACTTATAAAAATTCAAAACCGCTTTTGGATCTGTGCCAGAATTGCAGAGCACCGCAGCAGGGTTACCTGCAGCATCCTGTGGGGCCTTGATTGTTGCTCCTTCCTCACTAATCTTGGCTTTTGTTCTCCTCTCCTCTCCCCCTCATCACGGTCATCTCCTCTCCAAATGGCTGTGTTGGAAGGAATGGAGTACGACTTTCTCACATTCCTCATTGGCTCCACCAGGACCAAAAGGAGCACACACGAATTACTGTTCTGCTCCTACCAGAATTTTTTTTTTGGGGGGGGGATCACTCCAGAAGCTCCTGCAGCGTCGCAGGGGCCTCTGAGCAGACTGGGGTGGGTGCCTGGCAAAAGCCGCAGAGTGCGCTTCTCTTGCGCCCTGTTTCCACCAGAGTTGCCAAATGTTCACCCGCTGAACTGGGAGATGGATGCATCATTTCTAATTTGGACTGGCCATTCTTCCAAAGTGTGGGCTTTGGCAAATACCCAAGCACGCCAACCCCAGTGCTGGCCCCGTACAGCTGGCTGGTTCTCCAAACGCCTGGCGTTACGAAGTTTCTGCTGCAAGGCCTTGTCACTCAGTCTCCTCCTTTCTGTCCGATGTTCTTTAGGGCTTCCCAGGCGACATTGGCCCACCAGGACAAAATGGACCTGAAGGCATTAAGGTGAGCAGCACTGAGAGACCAGACGTTGCGTCGAGTGGGCAAGAGCCAGTGAAAACACAGAAACCAAGAAAGAAGGCCGGGAGGGAGGGAGGCGGCAGAGAGGAGAGAAAAACCCTGGAGATCCCTGTGGATACTTCTGGCCAAATTTCTGGTTTTAAGGATTTGTTTGTATTGAGATGCCTCCAAGAGCTGGAGTGGATTTTTTCCCCCTGCATTGGAGTTGACGTTGGATGCTATCCCATGGCAGCACGCACTGGCGAGCGATCCTTTCTCCATGCTTCGATGGGACCTTGATCGCTTGTGCATTTCTCTTGTTTCTGAACTTCTTCTCATCTCTTGTAGGGGAAGCCTGGAGCACGGGGATTACCTGGCCCTAGGGGACAAGTTGGCCAAGAGGTGAGAAATGAGGAGAAAATGGTAACTCTGCTTCTTCATGGGCTACTTCAAGATTCCCACCCTGCATGCCTTATACTGATCCTGTGTGTAAGAACGTAAGCAGAGCCCTGCAGTGTGTCATCTGCTCCAGCATCCTGCTTCCCACAGTGGCAAAAGAGATGCCTCCAGGGAAGCCCATACAGGCACCCAGGGGCCAAAGCCTTTCTGGTTCTGCCTCCCAGCAGCTGTTTTTCAGAGGTAAAGTGCTGCTAAACTTGGGAAGTTCTCTTTAGCCACTGCAGCTAAATAACCTCTGAGAGACCTCTTGTCTGCGAATTTGTCTAGTCCCCTTTTAAAACTGTTGGAGTCAATGGCCACTGGCACGTTTTTTTTTTGCAGTGAATTTAATTTTGCATACTGTGAAGAAGTACTGTCCTGTATCCTACTGCTCATCGATTTATTTGGATGATCCTGAATTCTGTCATTTTGAGGGGGGGGAGAGGAAAAACTTTTTTCTATGCATTCTGAATTTATAAACCTCTGTCTGAATTTATAAACCTCCTCCCCAGTGTCTTTTTACTAACCAAAAAGTCCCATACTCTTTAGCTGTTGTTCAAAGGGGAGGTGATCCAACTCATTGTTTTGATCCAGTAAAGGTAAAGGTAAAGGTTCCCTTGCTCGAAAGCCAGTTGAATCCGACTCTAGGGTTGCGGTGCTCATCTCCGTTTCAAAGCCGAAGCGCCAGTGCTGTCCGAAGACGTTTCCGTGGTCATGTGGCCGGCATGAGTAAACACCAAGGTGCACGGAACGCTGTTACCTTCCCACCAAAGTGGTACCTATTTATCTACTTGCAGTTTCTTCCTTTTGAACTGCTAGGTTGGCAGGAGCTGGAACTAGAGACGGGAGCTCACTCCGTCATGCGGCACCCCTGGGTCTCGAACTGCTGAACTACCGACCTTCCACAGCCTGCAGTTCAGCGTCTTAACCACTTGAGCCACCGCAGCTCCTTTTGATCCAATAACAACTACTATATTCCCAGTGCCAGCATCTCCCTAGAATCTCAGATAAAGCCCAGTTGTGCCAACTGAGAAATTTTAACTGGAGGATCTTTAACTCAGACATGCCTTCACAGTATTTTGTAGAGTCAAGGGTTTATGTATTCTTTGTCTGCAGTGCTATTAAAGAAGTGTGGAATCTGATTTCTTGGTACAAGATGTAGTCATTAGGTATTTCTAGCCCTTATGGCTCAAAGTTTTTTGTCTTCTGCTGAAAATCCAGAACACAGCCCCAGTGAACCTTTTGTCACCCTCTCCTTTTCTTTGCTTGTGGCACAGTGTGATACTTATTATGCCAGCAGAAACTTTCGTTTTGCATGCCACCAAGCAGTCTGTATTGGGTGGTGTGCAACTGATGCATGTTGGGTTGAGTGAGAGGATTGCCACAAGTAAGGCGTCGCCCTAGGGAAAGCAGAAAAGAAAGCCAGTATTCTGTAATGGTTATAGTGATGTCCAATGCCCCCTCTAAGCTGTGGAGTCTTGTGAGCAAAAATTCTACTCTGTGAGCTACTGGCATTAAAGTTGTGAGTGAGCAATTTGGCTACTGCATAAATTAGTTTGCTCTGGAGCCATCCTTCCTGAGCTAAGGCAAAAAATGTGTGAGCCGGAGGCTATAAACCTGTGAGTTAGCTCACACTAACTCAGCTTAGAGGGAACATTGGTGATACCCTAAGAGCTGGGAGACCATTCAGCCATAAAGTTTAGTGGGTTACCTATAGGCTGGTCTCCCTCTCTCCCTCTACCTCACAAGCTTGAGAGTAAAATGAGAAAGTGGTATGCATATATGCTGCCCTTAGCTCCTTAGAGAAAGAGCAGGATAAAAACATAGTGGAAACCTTGATAATCTGTTTAACTGAACCCCAGTGCTTTTAAGGGTTTCTGGATGATATTTCAGTGCCTGGAATGATTCTAAATAGTTCTTTTTATTCTTGGTCAGTTACCCAGCTTTTTACCCTCTGTTCTGTGGTCTTCCTTTAAGTTCAGTTATACTTGAACAGCTGCCAGTTTGGCTCAAGTCCTGCTTGCTAGTTACAAGCAGGGAGCTGTTCAGATGTATCCAAATATTTGGATGCATCCCATTTGCATGATTACACTATTTTCTCAAACTATTAGAATTTCTCACTGCTGCCATTCCCACCAGTTGTCTGCTGCTGACACTGATTTTTTTTTAAAAAAATGACACATAGTAAATGGGAGGGATTCAGTTTGAGAGTTTTGAGGTGAGACTTACTGCTTGGTTTTTTTGTGTACCTTGGGTGGCTGCCTGTGAATCTAACGACTCATAGTTAGTTCTCGAAATCATTTCTCAAACAGATATCACTAGTTATACAGGTGCAATGCACCTAATGTTGATCATTTAAATGATGCATCTAACAATACAAGTGTAAAGAGGGGATGAATTGCAAGTGATTCCTTCTTTATTCAAGCTGTCCCATTTAATTACCATGGTAGTGGGGAGGTACTGCCTCTTCTTCAGTAATGATTTAGTTCTTGAACTTGGCAAAACGCAGTCACAAGCTGCAATGACAAAGCGACTACCTGAACAATTGTGAAGCTGACCAACATGACACTGTGTTTACAACAAATTTCATGAGGAAATATCAATCAGGAGCTTGCCTTTTCATAAGTGAGGGAGTTCAGTTTGGTATGTTTTGCCTGGTGAACATGTTTGCTGTGAAGTTCTCAGTATGCCTATTTAGGATCCCATTGCCTCAGACAATAGTTGCCTTATTTCCTTGCTTCTCTATATCTAGTCTCTGCAGCTCACTCTAACATTCAGGTTCTGTGTGCTCCTCAGGGTGATGAAGGGCCTGTAGGACCACCTGGAATTCCAGGGCTGGAGGTAAGATATGGGTTTGTGGGCACTGCAGCTCCTTCGGATGGTGCATTTGGGAAAGCACAGCGATCCAAACTTCCCTCCCCTTCTTGGTTTGCTGCTGACTATGACTACTGTCTTTAGGGCTCTGATTTAGTTTGGATAACTCACCTCACCCCCAGCTCTTCAGCTGTCACGACAAGCCAAGTCACAATTTTGTCTTTTAAAAATCAAAAGAGTCCTCCCCGGTGCCATTGGCTACAGGGTCTTGTCTAGAGAGCCTGTTGTGAAACTTCACTGGCTGTCAGGAATGTGTCGCTAAGTTGAATTTTTTTAAAAAAAATAAATCTGTCTTTTATTAATTTTAATAGAAAATGTCAACCAATAAAAAGGAGCTTGAAGCAGCTGCCTTTCCCAATTTTTGCCATGCCCATTTAATTCTCTAGCCTCCCCCTCTACTTTTCTTCCACATTGTTCTTACAGTTTTAAAGTTCCTATCTGTTCAGGATTTTGGATCTGGATTATGAATCCTTTATGCCTTTCAGGCACACGCTCCCATCCGTGCCTCTATAACACCACACACAGACATAGACGCACACAAAAGCTGGTGTGCTGACTTCATGTTTGGGAAGCGTTTCCATTTGATTTTCCATGTGTTAATTAACGTCTTGAAGTAGAACATGTGGAAGATCTCAGTGGCTACTTCCATCAGCAGAAAACCAAAATGCACCTTGTCATTCACCAGGAGAGGTTATGGTTTGGTGGCAGAGCATCTGCTTTGCGTGCAGAAGGTCCCAGTTTAAAAGGATTGCAGGGAGCAGACCTTTCTCTGAGGATTGCTGTCAGTCAAAGTAAGCTCTCCTGAGCTAGGATGGATCAATGGACTTGGTATAAGGCAGCTTCATATGTTCACTTTCCCCTTGTCACAGAAGTAATTGCTGCAGACTTTTGCATGTGTCCCCTTCAGACATCAAATCGCTCACATGAGTAACAAATTCGTGGCAGGCAATTAGTTGGCTGCAGTAAAGTGTAGATGTTTTCTTCAGCCAGCTAAATGCCTTCAGCAAATGGATCACACATATGGTGTGCTCTGAAGTAGAGTAACAATGCTCTCTCTGAAGTGGACATCAGCAGGGGCCTCCTGAGGGTCATTTTGATCATCTTGGTCTTCTACTGACACCACCACCTTGAATTTCCGTACACAAGTTGAGGCAGCTGCAGAGACGGTCAGTGTCTGTAATGATTTCTGTACCTTTCCCCCTTAACTTTAGTTTGGTCTTCCAGTTATTAGTCTTTCTGCCTGTGTGTTTGTGACTTTTTCAGGGTCCACTTGGCAGGAAGGGCTTTCCGGGAAAACCAGGTCCTGATGGCTTAAAGGTAAAAACAGGAAGTCATGTTTGACTTGAAATACAAGCTTGGAGGGGGGAGTAATGGGATGTTAAAATCCAGGGGATTCTGTTGCTTCAGGTTAACATGCCGTGGATCTAAAGCCTTTGCTTCCACCAACAATTTTTTTGCTCTCCTTTCTGCTTCTTTGCTCTGGAAATTCCGTCTCAGTGTGGTTTCTGTGATAGAAAGAATGATGGCGCATATTTTTTGAAACCACAGAGTTTTATTATTAACCAGCATGGTCCTCCTTTGAAATCTCCCCCCCCCCCCCCCTGTTTTTCTCTCTCCTCTCTGAGTTTCTGTCCCAAAACGGCAACAGCCACTCATCTCTCCCTGCTGTCGTCTAATTGGATGCAGGAGAGTTCCAGGGCATGTTTCCCTCCCTCCCCATTCTTCTCAGAGATAAAAATGCAGCTCTTGAAATCCACAAAGGAGGAGCCAGTCCTAGCAGACCATCTGTAATCATGCCATGCAGCCTCTGAGAGAACACAGCTGTTGTTGCCCCAAGACCTCCCCCCCCCCCACATCCTGTGTTAATGTTTGTGCTAATTGGATGCTCTGTTAAGTCTGAATCTTCCGTGTCCTTTGCCCCTTATGCTTGCTGGCTTGCAGCTAGCTTACATTCCTTCTACTCTTCAGCAGGTCAGTCAGTACGCGCAGGGTGCTAGGAGCTGTACAAGATATAAAATTGATGTTTCTTCTGTCCCAGAAGACCTATAATTTGCTACAAATTGTGGCTGTCTTGTGCCTCTGTTGAGCTATCACACCAGACCATGGTTTTGGTGTTCCCTCTAAGCTGAGTTAGTGTGAGGTAGCTCACAGATTTTTAGCCTCCAGCTCACAGACTTTTGTCTTAGCTCAGGAAGGATGGCTCCGGAGCAAACTGATTTATGCAGCAGCCAACTCATTCGCTCACAACTTTAATGCCAGTAGCTCAGAAAGTAGAATTTTTGCTCACAAGACTCCACAGCTTAGAGGGAGCTTTACACCAGACCATGGTTTTGACGTGGTGTCCAAAAGGGCAAACCGTGATTTGTGGTTGACCAGCAAAGCAGAACTGGGAACCATGGTTTGAAGTGGTTTGCTATTACTTGGAGATGGTTACTGAATCGACCAAATTATGATTTGGAATTGGCTAGCAGACAATTGACTGGCAGACAATAACAAAAGGGCGAACCATGGTTTGCAGTTGACCAACAAAGCTGAACTGGGAACCATGGTTTGAAGTGGTTTGCTATTGCTTGGAGATGGTTACTGAATTGACCAAATTATGATTTGGAATTGGCTGGCAGACAACAATCAGAAATCACACAAATTGGAAAACTATGGCTTATGTAAACTCTGGTTTGGCAGGATGTCTGAACGGACAACCATAATTACCCATTGTTCTGTCTGTGGAGGCTACTGCAAACAGAAGAAGAAAAGCAAGCACATGGCTCTAAAACCAGGATTTGTTTGTACATTTGTAAACTGTAAGCTTGATTTGGATCGTGATTTGGATCCATTCAAATCCTTATTTGGCATTATGGCTTCGGCTGGACTTACTCATGTGTGTATATTGTATGCCTTGTGAAGTGCTATAATATTTGAAGAGGAGATCTTGAACCCATGGTGCCACATTTGGCATTCACAAAAGGATGTAGTTCTCTAGAAAATGTCCACCAGAGGTTTGTAGATGTGCATACCATGTGGACATACAGTAAACATGGAAGAAATGGATTTGCCATGTGAAGTGGCCCCAGGGCAACGCTGATTGTGTAGAAAAGTTGGTACCTTTGCAAACAATACCCCCAGGAGGAGCGCCTCTGCGGTTGAAGAAAAATAACTTACTGCAACTAGTAATTACCTTCAGTCTATTTAGGGAAGGGGATGAGTTTAACCCTTAATTGGCATACATAAAATGGCTTTGATCCATTGTCCTTTCTTAGAAAGAAGTCAAACCTTGAGAATAAGAAATCCAACTTTGAATTTGATCAGACCAGTCCTATGCTGTGATACTAAAGGCAAGTTGTATGTGAAACAGGAATAATCAAGACTTCCTTTGCACACTTATCTTGAGTGCAGAAACAAAATTTCACAGTATTGAGGAATCTGCTCTTGATGCTCCCTCTATGCTGTGGAATCTTGTGAGCAAAAATTCTACTTTGTGAGCTGCTGGCGTTAAAGTTGTGCGTGAGCTATTTGGCTGCTGCATAAATTAGTTTGCTCTGGAGCCATCCTTCCTGAGCTAAGACAAAAATGTGTGAGCTGACGGCTAAAAAAACTGTGAGCTAGGTCACACTAACTCAGATTAGAGGGAACACACAACACTAGCGAGGAACTTGCCCAGGATCACAGGACAGGGATCAGGTAGGAAATCCATCCTCCAAAATCTCCCACTCCAGGGTACTGTAAGCCCCTGGGATCATATGCAGACGTTATCAAGCCATTATTTGTGTGTGTGGGGGGGATCTTTTGGGTAATCTACAAAGCCATATCTTTCCTTGTGCCTGGGAAGTCCCCTGAGCGTCTTGTCTGTGGGTGGTCTGGTTTTTCTGCTTTCATGATCAGGATAGGTGGTGCCTTCTTTCCTATTGGACATAGTGATGTTCTGTTATCATTCTCCATCTCCATTCAGGGTGAACCAGGGAATCCAGGACGGCCAGGAAAAGTTGGTGATCAGGTAAATAACTTTGGTTTCATTTGCTCAGTTCTTTGTCTCTTCCTAGTATGCTTATTTTCCAGCAGTGGGCTGTCGTTTGTGCCAAAAATTGCTTTGGGTAATGTGTTCCTAGCTGTCAGTGGAATTTAAAATGCTGCCATTGTTTTCCTTATTATTTTCCTTATTAAAATGCTGTCATTATTTTCCTTATTATTCTCATGTATTTGATTTAAAAAGTCAGCTTCCTGCCTTTCTTTTGTGGCTAGCAAAGCACTGATCAATAAATCCAAAGTCCAATAAATCAATGTTATATAAACAACTCATCCTTCAAATCACTATAAATGACAATTTACAACAGCCCAATAAAACATCTTATTATATAAAGAAGCCAGCCATTTTTTTAAAAAAAAACCTCTTATAACCTAGATCATTAATCAAAAGCTAGTTGAAGGAATTTTCAGCTTGTATGAAAATGTTGGTGTGTAAGCTCATATGGAAGGAGCCAGTTAGAACAGTGTGATACTTGATACGTGTAGAGAGCAAATTATATTAAGACGACAAAACTGATGATGCAATGCGAACCCCAGTAGAAGGTGTATGCACAACCAGAGTAGGGATGGGCATGAACCTCGTGATGAAAATAGCTGGTTTGTGGTTCGTAAACTGAGGTTCATGCCCATTCCTAGTCCACAACCCTCCCACGACCCTGCACATGGTTCTTGAAAGGTTGTGGGATTCATAGTGAGAAGTGGAGGAGGGAGTGAGAGGGATTGTTGAAATGGCTTGCATCCAGCAGCTGTTAGGCTGAAACAGATGCAAGCCATTTCAACAATCCCTTTCACTCCCCTCCCCACTTCCAAGGGTTCCCCGTTTAAATGGCTTTTACAAGTGGGTGCCGCCAGGGGTCATTTCATAGAAAAAGAGGTGCATGAGCTCATTAGCATAACTTATTTGCATATGCCACACCCCCTGACATCACCGGAAGCATGACTGTTTTGGATTGCTAGCTATTGGGGGGGCGGGGCATGCAGATCTGCTCTCACAGAGGAGGGAAAGCTTGTACCTGAATTAAACCTGGTCTTAAAGGTGCCACTGGACTGTTTTGGATTGCTAGCTATGGGGGGGGGGAGACGCGCAGATCTGCCCTCACAGAGGAGGGAGAGCTTGTACCTGAAGGCGGGCCAGGGGGGCTCTGCAACTTACCTGGCTGCTTCTTGCTCCTCGTGGCCCGACTGAAGACTGCTGAGAGCAGGGGGCGGGGCTTGTTGCATGTGCCCGCCCCCTGGGCTCCTTACTGCTGGAGCTCCACTCCTGTGCACTCTCGCAGGAAATGACCCCTGGGTGCCACACATGAGTGAAGTCCAAGCAGCAAGTTCACCTCTTCTGGGTGAACTCGTTGCTTGGACTTCACTTGCATGTGACACCACTTGCAAAAGGTATTTAAAGGGAACACAAGCAGAAAGGAGGGAGGGAAGACCTCCCTATAGCATCACAAACCTTACAAAACAAACTGGTTTATTAAATGGGGAGGTTGGTGAAGGTTTGTAGTTTGTGTGACACCACAAAACACGAACTGGGACAAACATTATCCTGGTTCATGCCCATCCGTAATCCAGAGCCTTAACTAACAGAATTTCAGGCTGTTGGAGATACAGCAGCACCAGAGGAACCATCAAAAGTTTGAAGAGGCAACTGGATATTCCTTATTGGTACACTGTTTGTAACTTGAGAACAGAACTGGAACTGGAATTCACCCAGTAAGCTCTGTTCATCACTAGTGATTCATCATCATCATCATCATCATCTCTACACTTTTTGATCAAATGATCTCTAAGGCAGTTTATGATAGATTAAAGCAATGCAAGAGACATGGCTTCGAATGGAATATGTCCTTATGGCTTCCAGTGAACACAGGGGAAATAGATTTGAGCTAGGCATGTGCATTTTTTCCAGCTATTTTTTTATTTGAGTCTGTTGTACCTGAAAAAAATACGGGATTCCTGAAAAGTCCCAGATCCCAGTACTGATACAATATTTGGATCTGGAAGTTTTTGGAAATCCCAATTTTTTTTCCTGGTCCGGTAGACCCAATAAAAAAAATAATGCACACCCAAAGCTGAGCCAGCGAGGAGCAGTCTGCTCCCCGCTGGCACAGCTAATCTCTGGGCTGGCTTCTCATGCAGCCCCATTTAAACAGGGCTGCACGAGAAGCCAGCCCAAAGTTGAGCCGGTGGGGAACTCTGCTCCCTGCCAGCACAGCTGATTCTCGAGCTGTCTTCTGCAGTCCCTTTAAACTTTAAAAGGATTGCAGTAGAAGCCCGACAAACAGCTCAGGGGTGGGAGTGATCTACTCCAGCCCCTTTGTTGTTGTTTTTTATCTACTCAGTAATTTCTGAATATATTTGGGATTTAAGGGGGGGGATTTTTTCACTAGTTTTCCTGAAAAATCCCAGATACCTTTGAGATGCTGAAATATACCCTAAAATACCAATAGGGTATTTTTGGGTATATTTTTGGCTTGGGTAGATCTGAATGTGCACCCCTACCTTGGGCCACATTGTCTCCTAGAATGTTTTCAGGCTGAAATCAAAGTTCTGCCGTTGGCTGTTAAAGTTACAAACATTGCATGTTAAAGCTATCCTTTAATAGCTGAGCCCAATAGGATATAGTTTGTCATGATTTCAACATTTTGTTTAAAATAATGATATAACTCTGTGGAAGGTAATCAGACAGGAAATTGAAAAGACCCCTCCTTGGCTTTCAGATATGTGGTTTCCTTAGTCATGAATTGGGACCTTGTTTTGTATGAGGGATTGAAATACTGGCAAAACATTACATTGAAATTAGGTAACATACGGTAAAATCTGGTGGACAAGAGCTATACAGGGCTCTTTTTGTAGAAAAAGCCCATCAGGAACTCATTAGCATAATAGGCCACACCGAACAGCAGAAACTGATTAGTATACTAGGCCACACCCCTGGCAGTGCAGATCTGCCCTCACAGAGGAGGGAGAGCTTGTACCTGAATAAACCTTGATCTTAAACTTTACTCTTTTGGATTGCTAGCTATGGGGGGGATACGCAGATCTGTGCAGAAAGAAAGAAAGAAAGAAAGAAAGAAAGAGAAAGAAAGAAAGAAAAAGAAGGAAAAAGGGAGAGAAGGAAAGAAGGAGGGAAGGAGGGAAAGAAAGAAAAGAAGGAGGGAAAGGGAAAGAAAGAAAAAAGGAAGAGAAGGAAAGAAGGAGGAAAAGAGGGATAAGGAGAGAAGGAAATAAGGAGAGAAAGAAGGAGAGAAAGAAAGAGAGAAGGGGAAAAGGGAGAGAGAGAAGAGGGAGGGAAAGAAAAAGAGAGAAAGAGAAGGAAAGGAGGGAAAGAAAGAGAGAAGGAAAAAAGGTGGGAAAGAGGAAAAGAAAGAGAGAGAGAGAAGGAAAGAAAAAAAAAGGAAAGAAAGAGAAAGGGAGAGAAGGAAAGAAGCCCCAACACCTGCAGCCACCCCTTTCCTTTCTCTCTTGAGAAAGAGGAGGGAGGGGGGTGGCTGTGGGCCCCGTGCCCTATCTCTGCTCAGGGCGTGGTGGCGGCGGGGCCTTAATCGGGGGGCCCTTTCAAGCTGGCTCCCTGCACTTAAAGGGACTCCCTTTAAATGCAGGGAGCCGGCTTGAAAGGCCCCCGCACGCCCGATCTCCAGAGACCGGGCACGCGAGGCCTTCCAGCTCCCTGCACTTAAAAGGACTCCCTTCGCTGGCCACCCCCCCCCCGCACCAGCAAGGCCCCGGGCACCCTGAGCAGGCAGGCTGGGGAAACTCACCTTGCTTCGTTTTGCTCCGGCAGCCCAACTGAGGGCCACAGGGAGCAGGGGGTGTGGCCAAGCCGGAACGCAGCCGGAACACCGTTCCAATGCGTTTCGGCCCAAAAACAGCCCTGCGTTAAGATATTCCTGATAGTACATGGGAGGGGGATTTATGGATACATTTAGGTATTTCTGGCCTGCTTGTCTTTAAGAGAGAGTCACGGTATAAGACTCTGTATCAATGGTATTTGTCTTGGTAGAGATTAAGTAGGATGTTTAACACCCATATTCATGTATGTTGGGAATGTTGGATGGGATGTGTAGAGTTGAATATATGTGAATCTGCAAAGAGGCTGGATTTGAGTCCAGTAACACCTTAGAGGCTAACAAGATTTTCAGCATATGAGTTTTTGAGAGTCAAAACTCCCTTTATCAGATACAAGTAGGAATGGAGATCCTGGAGCCTTTATATCCCAGTCAGAAGATGGCAGAGGTGTTGCAAAGAAGGGAGTCAGGATGCAAAGACAGAATGCAAATTGTGATCAGCTTGATTGGAGCAGGGGAGAAATGCTCAGGGACAGAAAATTAGCATCTGTAGTAAGATAAGAATCCTATGTCCCTATTCAGCCGGTTTGAGGGACGGCTGTTCTGAATTTGTGAATGAACTCAGATTCAACAATCTTGTGTTGCAATCTCCCCTTGAAACTTCTCTGTTTGAGGACTGCCACTCTTAAATCAGCAACTGAATATCCTGGAAGATTAAAATGTTCTCCCACTGTTTTTTGAATGTTGTGATTTTTGATGTTAGATATATGTCCATTTATTCTTTTACATAGGGAATGCCCTATTTGTCCAATGTAGAGAGTTGAATTGCACTGATGACACTTTATGTTGGAAGATGAGAAGCATAATCTTATTTAGTAAGAGGCATAATCTTATTTAGTTATTCATGTTATAAATCAGGTAAGAGAAATTCAGTTTGACATAGTTATGTTTATTTTAAATGACATACTGTCACCTGGAAATTAGGCTTTTAATGCTGAGTATACTGATTGCAGCAAAGGTTGCCTGAGCGTGGCTTTGGAAGAAAATTGCTTCTCCTCAGTCAACATGGTTAGTAAAAATGATGAACTGATTAGCAATGCACTTAATGGGGACTTTCACAGATGCCTTCTCAGTGACTTCCCCTAAACTCTGGAACTCCTTCCTCCAGGATTTTGGGTTGGGGTGGGGC